AGAGATTTCAGGGAAATTATGGAGTGAATATAACCCTGGCAAGTTAAGGACCTTGTGTGAATCTGACTGGCCCACCTTTGATGTAGGGTGGCCTCCTGAGGGAACCCTAGATGTCCCAACAGTTCATCGAGTCTGGCGAGTCATCACTGGAGATCCAGGCCACCCTGATCAGTTCCCATACATTGACTCCTGGTTAGGAGTCGACCAGACCCTTCCATCTTGGGCGCGATTCGCTTGCAACAGGCAGGGACAAAGTAGTCTTCCTACAGAAGCCAGTGACCCAGAGGAAGAACCAAGATCGCCCCCACCTTATGCGCCCCCAAGGCCGTCAGCACCCAGCCTCCTGATACCGGACACTCCGCCACCATCGGTCTCCCCACCACCTCCAGGTCCGGGGACCCACTCTCCCCAGACCAGCAGCCAGACTGCACCCTCCATGCCAGTAGGAGAGACGAGGGAGCCTGAGAAGCGTGATGAAGACAGGACCATCCAGCCCCGCCGGTCCACGCTTTACTAGCAACCCTTCTAACAGAGAAGTTCAGGCAGACAGGGAGGCTGAAAAGGAAATTTAAAAAGAAAAGGCCAGCCTCCTGGCAGCTGCCTTAAAAGAAAAGAATGACCAAAAGGCAGAAAAAGCTTGCTGCCAAGAAGGGGGGAAGCCTAGGACCCCCCCAGCCAGGGAGCAGTGTGCTTACTGTGAAGAGAAGGGGCACTGGGAGAACGAATGCCCCAACCGAGGCAAAGCTCTGAGGCCCAGTCACTGCCGGGAGGAGCCCACGGGGAAAAGCTCACTGGCCTGGCAGGAACAGACTCAGCCTGACAAGGACGGGCTCTCTCCCTCTTGGCCCCGTGAGCCCACAGTCAGAATGAAGGTGGGGGGACAACACATGACTTTTATGGTCGACACAGGGGCAGAACACTCTGTGGTCACCCTCCCTGGAGCCCCCTTCAGCAGAAGGGCTGCAACTATCCTCAGAGCCACCGGGTCAAAAGAGTCCAGCAGCACTTCTGCCAAGCCCGTCAATGTGAACGTGGGGGCCACAGGTCCGACATAAATTTCTCTACCTACCTCCATGCCCCATTCCCCTCCTCAGCCGAGATAAAATTTCAAAACTCCTCATCCTGGCAATAACCACACCCAGGGAAGAGGAATGAAGGCTGTTCTGTGCCCAGACCCCCTCAAGTAGCCCACCTGAATTCAGGGCTGCCTTCCCCTCAGTATGGGCTGAAGACAACCCACCCGGACTGGCCCATAACCAAGCCCCTGTCATTGTAGAATTGGCTCCAGGGGCCCAGCCATGGAGACAGCAGCAGTACCCCCCTCACAAGAGGCAAAAGCAGGCATCCAAGAACACCTGTCCAAACTCAAAAAAGCAGGCATTATAGTTGAGTGCCAGTCACCCTGGAACACCCCATCCCTACCAGTCAAAAAACCAGGAGGAGGGTATCGGCCGGTCCAAGACCTGCGAGCCATCAGCAAGGTGACTGTTTTTCTGCATCTGGTGGTACCAAACCCATATACCCTCCTCAGCCAGATGGTTAACTTGCCTAGACTTAAAGGATGCCTTTTTCTGCCTCTGACCAGTCCCCCAGAGCCAGCCTTTGTTTGCCTTCAAATGAATTAAACTGGATACTGGGAGGCAGATGCAGTTAGCATGGACGCAGCTTCCACAAGGGCTCAAGAACTCATCCACTCTCTTCGGGGAGGCATTGGCTGCAGACCTTAGCAGCTTTCTGAGGGATGCCACGTGCTGAGCCCTCCTCCAGTAAGTTAGATGACCTCCTCCTTGCCAGTGACACCCAAGGAAACCATACAGAGGGCATGAAGGCCCTCCTGCAACTCCTGTTAGACTCAGGATACCGAGCCTCATGGAAAAAGGCACAAACCTGCCAGCAGCAAGTCCGGCACTTGGGCTTCCTCCTCACCCATGGAAAGAGGGCACTAGGGCCGGAGAGGAAAAGTTCATCACCTCCTTAGCCCAGCCCCAGATGAAGAAGGACCTATGAGAGTTCCTGGGGCTGCCGGGTTCTGCCGAATCTGGATTCCTGGATTCTCAGCAATGGCAAAACCCCTCTACAGCCTCCTAGGGGGGCCAGACTGAGAGCCCCCCATCGGAATAAAAGAGGCAAAAACCACCTTCCTGGAAATAAAGGTTGCTTTAGGACAGGCACCAGCCCTAGGCCTGCCAGATAGAGAAAAGCCCTTCAATCTCTTCGTACATGAAAAAGAGAAGGTGGCCCTCGGGGTTCTCACACAGAGGTTGGGCCCTGGCAGCTGTCCGTCGCATACCTGTCAAAGTTCAGCAGGATGGCCACCGTGCCTCAGGGCGCCGGCAGCCACAGTTCTACTCATTAAGGAGGCAAACAAACAAACTTATCCTGGGACAAGAATTCAATTGTACATTGCAAAGGAAACGACCCTATAACACAGGGAAGCAGCTAAAGCAGCCGCCAGTAAAAACTGCACTGGAAGCCCTCCTCAAGAAGCAATACTACATCAGTCGGTTGCCAGCACTGTGCTGGGCAACAAGTGGGTGGTGTATGACTTGTGCCAGGAATAAGGCTCGATCTGCACCATGACCCCTGCCAGGTGTTCAAAGGGCAGGAGTTTCCCCCTTTGAAGACCTAGAAATAGACTTCAGAGATGTCCAGCCAAGCAGAGGACTCAGATACCTCCTAATAATAGTGTGTACATACTCTGGGTAGGTCAAAGCCTTCTGACCAGGACAGAACAAAGCTGGGATGTAGCCAAAGTTCTCCTGAGGGATATAGTGCTCCAGTTTGCCCTACAATCTACAATTCACAGTGACAATGGACCTGTATTTGTAGCAGATGCAGTACAATTTTTAACCAAATCTCTCAACATCACCTGGAAACTCCACACCGCCTATAGCCCCAGAGTTCAGGAAAAGTAGAGTAAATGAATCACACCCTCAAGGGAACCCCAGCCAAGTTCTGTCAGAAAACCGGCCTCCCATGGCAGGACCTACTACCTTGGCCCTCCTGTGTGCCTATTGCACACCTGGAGCACAAGGCCCCCCTTTTAAACTAGTGTATAGGTGGCCCCCACCCCCATGTCTAGAAAGCCTTCCAAGAAACCTACACCAAATAAAAAATAAGGGAGTAAGGGAACAGCTCCAAGCCTTAGGAGCCACCCTAAATAAGTTACAACAATACATCATAGAAAGAACCCCAATCTCCTTGGGAACTCCAGTATATTCCTTCCAGGTAGGAGACTCAGTCTGGGTCAAAGGAGTAAAAAAGGACCCCCTCAAGCCTCAATAGACTAGGCCCCACATTGTAGTTCTAACCATTCCTACTGCTCTCAAGGATTCAGGCATCACTCGGTGGGTCCGTCATTCCAGAATAATGAAGGCCCATCATTCTAATGAAAAAGTACATCAGTGGAGAGCCCAGCAGCCAGACCTCAGGAATCCCCTCGGCCTCTGCCTCCAATGATTACCCTCTGACTAATGAACACCTGCATACCATGGACCCTGGCATTGGCCGGTGTGGGCTCTCTCATCCTGGGGATTGGACTCTCCGCTGCTGCTGCTTCTAGTTAAACTGTGCCCCACAGAGTTGCCTTTTCCATTGTTTACTGGGTAATCAATTGTAAATCAGGCTACTGCGCTTGCTTGCCTCTTTTAACTTCAGCTGGGGCCTCAGCCTATCTAACTTCTCCCCAGTACTTCTCTATAATGTTGCCTCTATACCTGCCCAGATGGCACTGGGACCGGAGCACCCTGCATTGTACAATTTTACACTGTCATCAAGAAAATTCTATCATATAAACCAAGATGATGCCCTCTAAAATGAATTATTTAAGGGGGCATCAAAAAGGGGGGAATTATAGGAAATATACAGAAAGTTCGCAAATCCCTCCCCCCATCCGGGTTTGGTGAAGCCAGGAAAGCTAAGGAAGTGAAGGAAACAAAGTTTCTATTGGCTTCCAGAATGTAAAGGAATCACAAGGTGCTTGGATGCTTGAGATTGAAACAATGTAACAATGTATTCACCCCAACCCCACTGGGACTCAGTGGTATGGAACAGCTTGTTAATCATAGTCATGGAAGCCCATTAGTTTATAATACTCCATCTGGTAACCTTTACAGAAATGGATTAAAATATAATTAGCATCCTGAATACACCTATAATGACCTAACAGCGCCTACTGCAACAGTTTCTGGGTGCTGACCCTGCCCCGCCTTAGCTTTGTAGTAAATGCATAAAAGGCATGAGCCTGCTGTACGGGGGGCTCAGACCTTTGAGGATCACTCTCCTCTGGGCCCATGGGCATAAAATTAACCTCCACCCTCCATGATCTCCGGGTGCCGCTTGGTTCTTCCGTCAGTGATCCAGTCCAGGTTTTCTGGTTTTCTGTAACAGAGTGAGAAGCCATGATTTCTGCTCAAGACCTGTGTCTCTTGTGCAATGGTAATCTGCACAGCAAGTGGGCAGGGAAGACCTGTCATTCTCAAAGCACACTGCCTCCAGAGGCTCTGATGTACCTCTGTGTAGACACCCTCTGTCAGAGAAAGAGAGCCTTTCACAGGGTTGCACATGTTATCAAGGTAGAGAAGAGCTAATGTATTAAATCTCCCATTTACCAGATAATTCCATACATTATGATTTAACCCTCTCAAGAACATGACAAGGCAGCCCCTTCTAAAATCCCCATTTTAGAGAGGAAGCAATGGGCTCCAAAGCACCTTGGTGGTATGTGGCAGAGAAGTGGACCATGTGCACCTCCCTTGGGTGTAAAACAGCAGTCAGAAGGCATCGCCAGCCCCTGCCGTCCGCACCCGAGCTGCACAAGGGACAGCAAGCGCTCGTCAGAGGAGCCCGGCCACTGCGGCCCAGACACCTCTGCCCAGTAACGAGCTCCGGCCCTCAGGGGAGTTAGCCTTTAACAGACATTCGGTACTTTGGGCCTGAACGTCAGGCAGACGTGTTCCGTTTCCAACAGCAACAATGTACATATAAAACCAGGCACTTACTTGCTGGAACATCTAGCCCCTTCCGGGTCTCCTCCTCTGTGAGAGTCGCCAGCTTTGGGGGTTGAGGGAAGTGGGGGGCAGGGGAGCAGCTGGTGCCCAGGCAGTCACTCTTCCTGCAGCTCCAAATCTGCATGCTTCCCTGTCCTTGCATTTCAGCCTCCAGGGCTGGTTAAACATTAATTTCTGATGGTGATAAAGGTCAAGGAAATCTTGAGAGACCCAGAGGGAGTAGCCCATCTCTGGGGAAGCTGGGAAGGCTCCTTCTGGAAGCTCTGTTTCACCCCAAACACTGGCTGCTTGGATCTTTCTTACTCCTAAATCAGCCACTAGAATCCTACATTTTCCTGAAGAACCCCAATTTCAGTATTTCAGCCCCATTAGGTCATATCCTGAGTCCTGGCCCTACCCTGGCAAGCCTGCCTCGCAGATGGCCTCCTGTCCTTTCAGGCAGCCCCCAAATGGAGCTACATATCCCAGCTCTTCACTTCCTTCCCCAGACCATTGAAATGATAGTCAAGCTGCAGAAAATGATAGTGTGGATGGCATCTTGACAAATTTCTAGAAATACCAAAGTTGAAAGAATGTCATCGGAGCATTAAGGGCTGAGAATCCAGCGCTGAAACTTGCACAGGGAAAGTCTGCAGGCAGTGTGGGGGCTGGTCTTTTGGGAAACCTGCAGCTCCTCCAAGCTTGGGGTTCAGTGGGTACAATGAGCTGGTGGGTGTGAGGTTGTTTTGGGGCAGTTCATGAAAGGCCTGGGCACAAGACAGAGGATGGAAAGTGTGTGAGGAGAGGTGTTTGTCACAGGCCAGATGAGGGAAGCACTCGCTGTTCTGCCCACTGGGCAGGTGTGGGGACTAGGATCTCAGTACTGGAACCAGAGCCATAAGCAGAGTGACATGGATGAGACTCTGAACCTCTGCAGGGCCGCTGGAGGAGAGGGGACAGAGTAGAGAGCAAGTCACACCTGCAGTGGCAGAAGCTACCATGCTCACATGCAGGCCTTAGTGCAGGCTGGGACTGAAGAGTAGTTGTCCTGGACAAGTCGTCCTGGACTGGCTAACGTGCTCACATGCAGGTCTCACCCAGGCTGGAACTGATGAAGGGGAGAGTAGTCGTCCTTGACAAATACAGGAACAGCATTTGTGAAGGCACTGAGGCTAACAAGGAGCCCTGTATATTCCAGGCCCTGAACAAAGGCTGCCCCCAAGGGCCGTACAAAGCAGGGGGCTTTTGAACCATGTTACATAATGTGTATTCTCTCCAACTGCAATGGGAGACATTGAAATATTTCTAGAAAGCACTGACCTCAGCTAATGTCTATTTTCATTAGAATCACTCTGGCTCTTGTGTGGAAAACAGGTAAGAGGGGTGACAAGAGTTAAAGTGTCTATACCCTCCTGGTTGGGAGGAAAGAGCAGAAATCTAAGGAACATGGTGAGTTTGGGAAGGACTGGGAGAGAGAAGGGGATTGAGATGAGGAAGAATGGTAGGATTCTAGACACGTGCATGTGTGTGCCTATGTGTGAATGCATGTGTGTGCCTGTGTGTGAATGCATGTGTGTGCCTGTGTGGGGGGCGGTTAGGAGGTTGCAGGGAAGAGGAGTCAGGAGACATGAAACCAATAGGCAGATGATGATTGACATGGACTGAAAGGAAAAAGTTGTGGTGGACCAATTTGAGGTAGGTGGAGATGAAGGCATCTCAGTAAAGAAACCATCTCTGCAAGGAATGCAACTATGAATGTTTCTAAAACTAACATACATTCCTTGAGAAAAAGTTGAAAACTTTCAGGTGTAATCCCACTTCTGCTACGGAGCTGCTGTCCACACCTGCTGTACAGCTGTTAAGAACTTTTCAATGCATGTAACTGTGTCAACAACCTGTAGATACAACTGTACATCCTATTTTCAACTTGCTTTTCCCCAGATTTCATCACAAGCGATATACTTCCCCCAGTATAAGTGTAATTTCCGTTTCTTGATGTTCAGAGTTTTCCGTGTCCAGGTGTTCAGATCCACCCATTCCCCCCTCTGTTCTTGCTGTGTCTGCTCAGAATGTATACATAGTCCCCCCTATTTCATTGTAGTATTTTTATACTTTTAGGATTTTACTTTCACATCTTCACACCACTAAATTTATTTTGGGGTACGTCCATTAGAGTTCTAATCCCCCCATCCAGCTCTCCCAGTGTAATTTTGTAAAAAGGTCCTTCTGGTGCACTGCTGCTGCTCGAGCTCGTTGGTGTTGCTGTTGTCATGAGCTGTCCTTTCGTCTCCATGTCGGTGCTGCTGTATTTAAGTTTTATCCACTTATCAGGCAGTGGGATGGCTGGAAGGGCAAGAGTGCCCATAACCAATGTCTTGGGGAAAATCGTTGTTACTTTCACATGTTTCTGTTTCAAAAGGAACTTTAAAATCATTAGTTCATACATTTAAAGTCCTCCTGGGACTTGGAAGTAGGTTCATGCAGGGCTAAGCTGTGGAGAACGGACCTCTCAGAAAGGGAGTCTTGCCATCCAGGATGTTGTTGTCTAACTCCAAGTGTGTCTGTCTTAGCTTGGGGTCCCTCCAAAGCTGATCCCTGTGCCAAAAGTTCAAGTAGTTAATTTTGTTAATAAAGCCCCAAACCCCAAGTAGGGGTGTGGGGAAGTGGGCCAAAAAAGGGAGGAAGCCAGCACAGGCGCGTCTTCAAGCCTGTTAGCACAGTGGGCTCCTGGGGCCGAGCTCGCCTACAGGACTTCGGGAGTTGGTACAGAAAGTTCACCTGGAAGGGGTATGACAAGCTCTGGTGACCAGGTGCAGCTCAAGGCAGTGACAGGAGCCGGCAGCTGTGCACTCAGATGTGATCCGTGATCCACAGCATCTGCCGCGGGTCCTTAACAAAGTTCTGGGTGTGCATGTCTGTTTGGAGGCTTGTGGATGGAAGAATGTAAGTCCTGGGTACTTTTTATTGTACCATGTGAACTGAAGCTTTTTAACAGAACACATTTTCTGCCTAGTGAATCTGGAGTTAACAAACCCCTCCTAGTGGTGTCTGCAGACACATGGGCCTGGTGGAGGGCTACCTGGGTAATCCTGGAAGCTGATGCAGTTAGGCAGCCCCCACCCTGTGGGTCTCAGGAAGCCCTTTCCTCTCCCAGGGAGTTGCGTGTTCCATCGACCCCAAGTACTTCCCTACAGATCTTCTAAGCCATGTCATCTGGTCTGGAGGCATGTGTATGGGTTTCAGCATCCCTACCTTGTTGAGAATCGAGACTTTCTGAGTCCAACTTGAAGGCCAAACATGAAATCCTGAGGAGAGGCTGCCTGGCTCCATCTGTGGCCATGAAGGTTAAAGTAGCATAATGCACTGAGAGCACCTTTAAACAGAACATTCTCCTGACTTGTTAGATGAAAACACACATGCAAAGAAAGGTGTCCATCAAAGGGAGGTTGCCTGGCAAGGAAGCACAGAATAGCGAGCCAGCATGTGGCGGTGGGGTCCATGCCTACTGGGAGGGAGCTGCCCTGATGCTGCAGCTGGGGGTCTGGCTGGAGGGGGTGGGACACTGTCATCAAGAGCTGCCTGTGGCAGGGCTCTGGGCCTCTGAGACTACCCAGCCAAGACCGTGGGCTGGTCCCGTCTCAACAAGAAACTTCTACTCATTTAAATTCCTGCACAATGTGTGTTCCCAGTAGTATGATGCCCACAAGGTTTTAACTCCTGCTTCCAGAGGGAACCAGGCCTGGATCTCTATTTGGGCAGGTCTGTGACAATTCTGTGATACAAAGTCTATTGCTTCTAGTGTTAGTGGCTTGACACATGATGGTCAACACAAGCCCCAAAGTGTCTGAGCTTCAGAGACATTGGTTGGCCTCTGGCGAACTAAGGCAGCAGACCCCACCACTGCCCGGTGGACAACTTCTTGGGTGATGCAGTTCTTGTCTCTATTATTTTGGCCTTTTAATTAGGGTCTTCAGTCCCTGGCACCCCCAGTGGGAGGAATCACATAGGTAGAGCCTGTGCCTGGCCTGCTACCCAACTCCCAATAGGATGCCAGTGCTCAGGCTGGTGCACTTCAGGTGATTGCCTCTGGATCTTTCCCTGAGTTATAAGAAATCAGGTGTATGGAGGGTTAAAAATGACTATCATTTTTTTAATTAAATAAAATACAGGAAACCAATATAACTTGTATGTCAACTCTTCTCCAATAAAAACAAATGGCAGAAAGATCAGAGACTGTTGAGGTTTTCCTGAAGCATCATAATCCAGTCTGAGATTGACCTTTGAGGTCAAGTTCAGCCACAGATCAGACCAGTGCCTGTGGGCAGGGCTTGGACTGTGTTGTGACTAGCCGGTGTGGTTACAGTCCACCTGGGGGCAGCTTAAGGGGGGGCTGATGAGCTGGTTGTGCAGGATGTCATCAAAGAGGGGGCCCACAGTGGCCTCCGTAGGGTTTCACCAGGAACCCTGCATGCGAGTCTCAGTGCTGGGAAGCACGTTCTTCTGGAAGGACGAGCTTGTTTTCATTGTGACTTGTACCAGTCAGGTTTCCCCTTGTTTTGGCCACTGGAAGCTCAGGGCTGTTTTTGCAGCTTACATCTCAAGGGCTTCCCGCCCTTCTTAGACACACTCAGATGCTTGGCTTTATTATTTTCCTCCTGCTGTTTCCTAGGTGCCCAAGTCCCTCAACTGTGTACATTCTTCTTCTATTACACGTGGTTTGGTAAGCAAGCAAAGTTTAGAATATCATTGGGGGAGCCAGGCTCTGATCAGACAAGATGCAGGGGGAAGATGAGGGGCCTTGGCCTGCAAGCATGCTGGAAGCACTGCTGAGGCTATAGAATATTAAAATTGAAAGGCAGCAAGGACAGGAACCACTTCCCAGGAGTGAGCTGGGGTACAGAGAACAGCCCTCTGGGGGAGCAGGGCCAGGAAGCTCACCTTCAGGATGGGATGGGAGGGTACAGCTCAGGTCTGGTGCAAGTGAGGCCCCACAGCTAACAAGTCACTGCCAAATCCTCTATTCTTCTCAGTGTTCTCATTATCTTTGAGGAGTTTCAAATTTTACACTTGGGTCTATGATCCACGTTGATGCTTCTTGTGATGGCTGTAAGTTCTGTCTAGATTCATTTTTTGCATACGGACATCTAG